TCTCCATCATAGTATTATGACCACGGCCAACATTCTCCTCCCACTCAAACCGTTCATTGACTATATGCCAGCCTCTCACAAGGATTTTGGCTCAAAGGAAAACTAATAGCTGCAAAGGTCACACAAAGAGGCAGGGCACACATCTGGCGGAACTGGATATGGGAATGCATAGACTGTTTTGTAATATTGTATAGTACTTATATTGTGACCAATATCAACATTTTAAATACTAAATACGTAGTAATGAGCCACCAGTCTCATAGATTATCATATGCACGTTATGTTTCTGTAGCAAACACTGTCCTAACCCAACAATAAAAAAAATAAAAAAGATTGGCCTTGACTTTCTTTATGTAATGCTGCTAATGCATCCATCCATTTCTACCCTTTAATCCATTTCTGGGTCAGGGGGGTGTCAGTCAGAGATGCCACCCAAGTCTCATAGCACCAGCCCCTCACTGACCCTCTGCAGGTGGTGAGTCCACAGGAGGATGGCTGCTCTCTGAGTGTGAGCAGGCCCGGACTGGCCATCGGGAGCATCGGGAGATCTCCCGGTGGCCTGCGTGTCAAAGTGGCCTGGGCCTGCCCTATCATCACGGTCTTTTTTTCTGTTTTTTTTTTTTCTTCTTTCTTTTAATTTAATTTCATCCTCACGGTCTTTGCAAACTCCTACCCTGCCTGGTGGCCTGGTCCAATGAGCAAGGCCCAGGCCAAAGGCAGTGTTGTGCGTGAACGAGTTCAAAAGAACGCGTTCATTGAACACGCTCATTTTTTCGTGAAACGTTGAACACATTTTTTAATAAATAACTTGAACGTGAATTAGTTCATATTATGTGTCATGAACGGCAGACAATTTGTTTTCCATTTAAAACTGAGTGAAATCTGTTTTCTTTTTTGAAACGCAACGAGAGAAAGTTCCTCCCTCCTGTATTCTCCGCACTGTTTCCGCCGAAAACTAAAAATTCCTACGGTTTCCACCGTCTGTGAACGCACCCCGACTCAGTGTACTTGCGGTGCGGCGCTGTATGCTAGTGCTATTCATTGGTTGTTGGACTCACATGTGCCGTGATGAAAACACAGGGGTAAGTCAGTGACACAGGGCCGTTTACATTTGACATAAAGTATAGACACACGTTCTGCAGCGCATCACAGTTTGTACTTATGAGCAGAGATGGGACAACTCAGTTCCCATTGAAACCCATGTAAATCTTGTCTGCATTGGAGTCAAAACATCCTGTGCAGTGTACAGGATATATATATATATATATATATATATATATATATATATATATATATATATATATATATATAATATATATATATACCACGTATTGTGATTTCTAGCTCGTAGTGAAAAAAAATATTTATTTGAATATCTCGCAAAAAGTAAAATGAACTGAACTTTGAACTAGTTCAGAATTAAAATTGAGAACTTCGAACGTGAACTGTTCACTTTGAGCATGTATGAACTGAACTTGAACTTGTTCAGAAAAGCTGTGAACTGGCACAACACTGGCCAAAGCTTTACTGTCATTGGGCCAGAGCAAAATTAAACAAATGTGACGTCACACGTCGGCTTACACAGCCAGGCCAGCCTAGCAGTGCACCCAGTGTAGCTTCCCCGGTTGAAATGAGTGGTCTCTCCAACTGATGGTTCATACACGTTGTTATTTTTCCTTTTATATGAGCTGTAACGATGTGATTTTACCTTACTACTTTTTTAACAATAATTGATTAGCTTGTTATAGTTATACACTAATGAACACTTAGTTCATTGTGTGTGTGTGTGTGTGTGTGTCTTTATTCTCACTAAACTCCATAAACGTTACGTTGCTAAGCAACGTACAACAATCTTTAAACGTCCGAGATTATATAAACAGTCAATATAAAAAGAACTAAAGAAAACAAAAGTTTTGACAGTCAATCTTAAAACTATTAAAAGAACATCAAAATACAATGACAAAAACCCAAATTTAGAACCTTGTTTGGCCTGAATGGATGAAAAGCTCCCGGCCTGAAATGTTGTCCCACTCCGGCCCTGAGTGTGAGCATAGCCTTGATGTTTCAGTGGGGGCTTTGGGCAAAGTGGGGTTAAGTGTCTTGCCCAAGGACACAACGACAGCAGTCATCGGTGGGAGTCGGTGGAGAAGGTGTAGAGGTGGGAATTGAACCCACGACCTTCTGGCCTTAAGGCCAATGCTCTACCAACTGAGCTACTGTCGCCAGTAGCTCAGTTGGTACTGGCGACAGTAGCTCAGTAGCTCAGTAGCAACAACACTGCTAATGCAGTGTTGTTGAAAAGTACTCACTATGTCAATTTAAATATTGAAACATGACATTGTATTGTTTAGAATTACAATCATATGGTGATGATAGAGACTCTCAACATTGGCCTTGACCTGTTTCTATATACTTTCTTCAATAAATGGGATATCTTTTTGTTCCTGTATTATCGAGATAGTGATATTAAGTTATTTTAGCGTATTACTAAGTATCCCAGTCTTCTTCTTGCTGTGATGTTGTCTCGAAGGTCAAGACCCTCTCTAATACCCCACAAAGAGACATAGATTGATAATTAAAGCCCCCAGCCTGTGGAGAAGCCCCTCTAATGTGATTTATACCTATAGATTTTCTGTCAGATATGAAATGTTGTCGTTCAAATTGAAGGGAGGTCCTATTATAAAGCACTTTACTGCTAACTTTGGAAAAGCGCTCAGCATTTATTTGGCCATACATTGTGGCTAATGGCACTGTATACCTGTCATATTGCAAGGCTCACTGAAGGCTAATTCAATATGAGGCTCGATTTTTAACAATGGGCCAAACATTCACATTACATACTCTTCATGAGCGACTTCTTTTCTATGTTACGACTATTGCCTATTTATTTGCATGTGTAAAATTGGATGGTTGTAAATTTGACATTCTACGAAAAAACCAATGAAATGTGATATCCGAAAGTGAAACCTACCTAATAGGCCCAAGATTTGGGAGTGACATTTCTGGAGAACATTGTGGTAAAGTTTGAAAGTGATATGTAATCCTCGCTCTGTTTAAAATGATAGCATAAGGCGTTTCACTTTTACCATCTCTGCGGAGTTCAAAGGCTTGTTCTGATAACATATTTCGACAGAGAAAAATGTGCTCCCAGTGCATTGTGGGTATCGCGTGATTCGTGTGCCTCGGGGCATTAGTAAATATGTGTCCACTGTTATTAATCAACGTGACACCAGGACAGAAATGACCCTTTTCATTTGGCTCTGCTCGTACTATACTTCCCACACTGGACAACTCTGCAGCAGTGTCTGTGTTTCCTGAAGCACGCCTCTGTATGTTCTGCACATACAGTTTATTCTTATAATCTTTTTAAAGGCACACCGTGTAACTCTTGGCCACTAGGGGCGCTAGACCTGCAACTTTCACGTTTAGCGCCCCTAGTGGCCACAAGCAACTCAGCACTGTCGCAAAAGTCAACAAACAGTCAGCCGGTGTCTTTTGAGTGTGTATTCAGACAGCATGCACTGGTGTGTGTGTTCAAACTGTAGAGACATGCCTACAGATATTGAGAGACTCTGCTGTGGTCAGCCTCCAGACCGCTGCATTAGTAATCTACCACACATGGACTTCTATATCCTGGATGAGGGAGTTCTGCGTCTAGCTCGTGCTGCGTGGAATGACATCGTTGCGGTCGATGACATCCAGGAACCAGGTGAACAGCAGCGCTCATACAGACATGCAGCTTACAGCACGATCCCTTTCGCGTTTCCTCTTTTTAGCCTCCTCCAAAGGTTTAAAATTTTTCCTTGCCTCAGCCATGACCAGGAGTCGAGCAGGTGAAAAATGAGTAGCAAAAGCCTTAGCTCCATGAGTATATCAGCGCCTGTAGCCGTAAAGCAAGTCTTTCTTCCAAGTCACGTGACCTGGTGGCAGACGGTCCGTCTGCTCGAAAGTTACATGGGCGGTATTTCAAGAGGGCAGCCCCGCTCGGAGCATTGCAAGTGTCAAGCGCTGTATATTGGCCCAAGTATTCATATAAAATAACTCATATGTGTCAACTCTTTAGGTCACAAAGTCCGCGGTGTGCCTTTAAGTATATGTATACAAAATAATTAGATATAAGGCTTTTGCAGGTGTAGTGAATAGCAAAAATAAAGGGCTTAAATAAGGATCCCAGTTTGGTCTTAATTTGAGTCCTGTCTTAGTCATAGTTTTGTTGTATCCCAATTTAAGTCCCAAATACATATGCAGTTTTTATTTTATTTATTTAAACAACAGCCCTCGTCTTAGGTTAAATGATTGGAAGTAATGGACAATAAGTGTAAATGTAAATGTAATGCTGGATTTCTTTGTGGCCTCCAATATGCTTAATCATTTATTTTCTTATTAAATAAGCTTCAGAATGAGGGCAAAAGCATGGTTCTAAAGTTTCACTGAGCAGCTCTCTAGGACCCATTGATTACAGCTATTTTACAAATGGGATGCCCTTAGTCTTAAAAAAAGCAAATACTGTATATATGTGCGATAAAGGTTGGTGGTTTGAATACTTCTCAAGACAAAAACATAATTGGTGTAAAGACTTTCAGGCACGGGAACCCTAACCCTAACCCACACCCTGGTACAAATAAACTTGTAGAATCTATCAGAAGACCAAATGAACCTTGTTGTACCTCCAATACCTGTTGTATCCTTGGACAAGACACTAAACCTGTCTCGTCCCCTAATGTCTGTGTACACTGGTGTGTGGGTGAAATGCTTTTAGTGCCTTTAAATAGAATAAAAGCGCTATGTAAATGTAACCAAGCTCCTTGAATACGCCTGATTTATTGGTGATTTAAGCTGAATTACAGAAATAAACTTTTGAACAATATTATTCTTTTCAATTTGACCTGTTTTTGCTACAGGACAAGAATTGGACAAAATATGGAGGTCAACATTGTAATAAATATTGATATAAGTATTGTAAAGTTAATTTCTCACTCTTGTCCCGTTCCCCCCCACAGTCCTTCTGCGCTCAGTACGCCGCAGAGAAGCGAGACGAGGAGAAGATGTGCGACAACCTCATCCGCGCCGCAAAGTACCGCGACCACGTGACCGCCACGCAGCTCATCCAGAAGATTGTCAACATCCTCACCGACAAACACGGGGCCTGGGGCAACTCGGCAAAGAGGTAACGCTCAAATGGACTGTGTGACGAATGGGCCTCTAATGTTGCGCCAACCATGACACCCCTATCATTTGTCAGTTCAAGGACATTTAATTATTAAGCAGCAAAATTTCTCATTCTATCACACCAGAGCAGATTGTGCGGAGAATAGGGTTATTTTTCTCAAAGCTACATGTACCTTTAAGCGTTTCCATTACTAACCCAGATAGATTCCACTGTCTTGTTTAAGAAGGGTGTAGGTTGGATAATAGAATAGAAAAGTGACGAATTGAAAAGTAAGTATTTATTTATCCTGATATGGTCATGTTGAACCATTATTCACTTTTTTTATTTAAAGAACATATTTACATTGTGAATTACTCAGAAAATATCTTGGACCTCAGATAGCTACTGTAAATTTCTGGTCATAAAACAACTGCTCATATAATAATGGTTACAGTACATTCTCGATAAGGCTTTGTGGTCTCAGCCTTGATCGATTACTGATACTACTTCTCCTTTTTTCACCCTCCATTTACACTACTTCAATTAATCAAAGTGTTTTTTCCCAGAACATGAACATCACGATAACACAAAACAAAATAACACACATTTGTACATACATGCTTATAACCCCGGCGACAGTAGCTCAGTTGGTAGAGCATTGGCCTTAAGGCCAGAAGGTTGTGGGTTCAATTCCCACCTCTGCACCATCTCCACCGACTCCCACTGATGACTGCTGTCGTTGTGTCCTTGGGCAAGACACTTAACCCCACTTTGCCCAAAAGCCCCCACTGAAAGATCAAGGCTATGCTCACACTCAGAGAGCAGCCGTCCTCCTGTGGACTCACCACCTGCAGAGGGTCAGTGAGGGGCTGGTGCTATGAGACTTGGGTGGCATCTCTGACTGCCACCCCCCTGACCCAGAAATGGATTAAAGGGTAGAAAATGGATGGATGGATGGGCTTATAACCCCCCTCACCCATATGTAACAGTATTGTTTAAAAACAGTGAAAAAGAAACACAATACAATGGTACATCACACACATAATACCAACAATTGATAACATGCTTTAATCTCATCCTATTCTGAATTGTTTTGAATGGTCAATCTTGTAGACTAGCTGTAATTGAATAGAAACAGTATTAATTTATGTAAAAATAAGAATTCTCTTTTAGCCGTAGGATCTGCTTAGTTTCAAAATGTTGGAAATGAGCACAAGGCAAAGTCACATTTGTAGAGAGGCAAGTCTTTTAGTTTATTTTAAGCACTAAATTCTTCCATAATTTGGCTCCCTCATACCGCTTTACAATTTTAGGAGTTTACACCAGATTTTATCTTAAAGAATGTTGTGGCTATTGGAGGAAGAGAGGAAGAGGCTATTCCTCTAATGATGCTTGTTTGTGCTGCTGTTGTATGGTTGGACTGGCTCACGCTTGTTAGTCTGCACCAACTCTCCAGGGATTGTTCCTCTATATGGGCTCTCTCACTGTTACAGTACATGTACCGTTGTATATAGCCAATTGTTTGTCTTTTTTTAATCTCACTTCCATCTCCTTCCTTCTCCCCTTTCCTTTCCTCTCCACCATTACGTTTCATGTGCAGGTCTGTGCTCTTTACTACGGAGATGTGCGTGCCAGAGCGGTCCCCCATTACTGGGCCTTTATGCTAGCGTGCTATTGATGGTTTTCCTAATGGCTGCCGATGGGCGCAGGGAGCCATTGGCACTGAGCCTTGGAGTGGAGCGCTCTTTTAATAAATCACAATCAGTCTGGTGCCATTACATCAATATTTTTGGTCAATTACTGTGAAGGTCAGGTGGTGCAGCTTCACACAGGAGCCCAGGGAATGCGGGCATGGGAGAAACATCTGGGGCTGTAAAATGTAAGGGAATGGTTAGTCTAATACAAATGGTGTATTCTGCAGGCTTGTTGCAAAGTCCTTGTACTTGGATCCAAATGAAACATTAAAGCAGCCCGTCAGCTGTATTTTTTTTCAGTTGTCTGTGAAAGAGGATTTTGTTGACAACGGTAAAGTAATGTAAAGTGGTAACACTGGATTTAACACTTTGCTCGTCTCATTTGTCTTTGCTACATACAATTCCATCAAAAGGCTCCTTTCTCCTCCTGGTTTATCTGCTAAGGACAGCAACAGGTTTGGCTAACATACATATAACACATTTTTAGATAATCTAAAATGCACTTAGGGTAATTTTTCAATGACTATAGGAATGATAAGAAAGAGAGGTGAAGTGTAAGACGGTTGATTTTAGAAATTGGATGCACCTGGCTGCAGCTAGCAAAACAGAGGAGTTTACGGAGGAGACACGCGTTTTGTTTTACTTTTTAAAACTCATTGGACTCATTTCCAAATGGAGGATTACATATCTACGCTCAAACTATTATCTGGACTTAAACACAGAATTGGTCTGAACCGAAGAGGCCTGAGCAGGTCATTTATAAGGTAAGACCCATAACTCATAGTTTTGCGTTTTGTATGAACAAACAATGCGGGCATGAAACATAATTTGCTGTGGCCAAACAAATTGTCCAGTTGATTTATATGATATATATGTTCATCTGATTGGGCTGAAGTCAGTGCTTCACCGGTGTTTCCACATTCACAGTGGAGCGTGTTGGTGTTTAGTGCTTACAGCACAGAGAGAGATGGAGAGTGAACAGGTTTTAGATGGAAATATTGGCGTTATTTCAGACTCACTGAGGTTAAAGGTAAAACTGCGCACCTCAAGTGCACATTATGTTCCAGAACAAAACGAAAAAGTAACGCAATAGTTACTTTTACTGGTAACTAGTTACTTTTATTGTGGAGTAACTCCGTTAGTAACTCAGTTACTTTTTGGGAGAAGTAACTAGTAACTATAACTAATTATTTTTCAAAGTAACGTGCCCAACACTGCATAAGATAAGATAAGAGATTCTTTATTCGTCCCACAGTGGGGAATTTTAATTGGTCAGTGTTGCTGTTGCATACACGGTTCTTAATTTGATCATACTATATAAATTTGTGAAAATCTGTTTTTTGTTTACAATGGTGTGCTGTGGAAAGCTACTAAATGACTACACATAACTATTTATTTCTCCATCTGCGAACCTTCAGTCCAGGAACACAAAGACAATACAACTCTAGCTCTATTACGACCTTTTGTTGTCTGGGCATTAAAACAAGCCCAAGCCTGGCTGCTCACATGCCATAAGGCACTATTCCCCCAAGTTTCCATTCAATAAGGAGTCTGAAAATGAAAATATTATTTTCTCACACACTGATGGGAATTGTTGTTTCCTTGACGGCAGGCATCTAATATCTTGTGACACAGCGCGGCCTGCCTGAATGCAATTTGTGTCTTAATATCCAGCTTACAGCCGTGCCGGCCCCTGGAGGAAAGAGGTGTTAGGTGATTTTGCCTTTCCCTCGCTCTAGCCAGCTTTTCTATTTCTCAACATGCATTTTTAAATCCGCATCTGCAGCCTTCCTGTTCAACTATCTGCTCCAGCTGTACAACACAAGTGAGAATACCCTTCAACAGACAAAGGGAGCGTCTCTTGATATTTCTCGCCCTTGCTTGTCAAATGTTGTCTCATCTTTGACAAACGGGCACACAGGGCCACACTACCTGTCCTTTCGGCGCCTGGAGACTCCCATGCGCAGTGTACCAGTCTGCTGTCTACTAATGTGTCGCACAAATGAAAGAAGATGTCATTTTCTTCTCAAATCTACCTTCTGGATGTCCGCAGAGGATCCGGGCTGTTAGGAATCATCTCTCATGTATGGATGACACCCGGACAGAATGGGCCAGCACAGAGGCGAGATGAGGCCGGGTGATGGACAATGCCAGTCTCCAGGGAAACGCCCAGCTCTCATCTTTTCCCCTCTCATAGGTTCGCTTTATGGCATTGGAATAGTCTGACTAATGTACCATGGAAATGCACTCTGGGTGCTCTGTGTGAAGGGCTGGAGGGCTGTGGAGGGAATAGAGTACTTCTCAATCAAAGATGCTGTCTTCATGTTACTGTGTAATTATTTCAGAGACGAAATGATGTTGTACGCATATTTACTGAACATTTAATTTGCAATCTATACATCTATCCACTGTTCTGTTTCAAATTCACTGCAATATGTTAAGCACTGGTTCTTGGTCTTCCTCATTATGGAATGGGTTAGTGTGCACTGTAAATTGTGGGCAAATCCACCAAACTAACAATTTATAAAACAAAAAAAACATTTCTGAAAAGGGACAACCCCCCGTTGTCCATTCAACACAGGGAGAAAACTGAAAAACAATTTAAACTGTCCGTTAAACAGTACAGTATTATATGGTAGAATACAAGACAACATGCACGGCACTCGAGAGTTCAGGTGGTTAAGTGTATAAAGTGTGTGGCTCTACAGCCAACTGTTTAACTTATAATGTACAGTAGTTTGCTCCAATTTCTTATTACTATTTGTTTTTATGCAATCAAATTAACCATATCAAATTTTACTTGGGACAATTGCTGTATCCCGCATTGTTTTGAATCTTTCCTAGACTTTTTTTTTTTTTTTTTACACTTTTTGAGTAAACATTGTTCTTTCTGGATTTGTTTCAAACCATTATTTGTCGCAAGCAGTCCGGAGGTTTATCCAGTCTGCGTTCCTGTACTTTGTCTTCCCTTGACGACCTCTGCACACTGTGATAAAAGTTGATAACAGTGTGTATAGCCCCAATGTCATTGTTGCACTGTTTGAAGAAAAGCATGCAAGTTTTATTAAAGAGCTTAAAGTCAGTCTGGTGGTGGGATTAGAATAGAACTATTATGATACTGAACAAGTATTCTGTGTGCGTATACATTTGTTTGTGTCAGACATTGATATTTATTTATTTTATGATTTGAGTTTAATTGAATGGTTTTCCTGATGTATGGTGAGAAAGGAGGATTGGGTCATGAACTGAACTATAGTGAGCAGTGAGTGGGTTTGCCAGCTTTTAATAACATTTAATGTTGGTGCAGGTATTGGTGCAAAATAA